TGGCCTTCTCCCCCTTCTCCTTGGCATTAGATGCCCCCCGCCCCCCGGCCCCCATGCCAGAGCGGGGAGTGAACCCGGGCACCCAGACCTCGACACAGCTGGGTGGGCAGCCTCTGCTGAGTCAGTGCCTCCCCGGGTCCAACTCCACCGCCCCCGCCCACCCGCCAGGGACTCCTGGGTCCCCTCCAGGCCAGCTCACAAGGCAATGACCTTTGCCCCCCCTTCCCCCCAAGGAACCCAGGTGTGTGGCACCGAGGGAGACCCCAGACCCGGCTCGGCGAGACCGCAGGTAAACCGAGCTGGCTGCATTTGGTGCGGGGAGAAAGCCCTGGTGACCGGGGTCCCACCCCACAACTGGCAGAGTGTGGGGCTGGCACAAGCGAGGGCCCGGGCAAGACGGGGAGAGCGTGAGAACGGATTCAGTGGCTTATACTGGGAAAGTAGATGGTGGAATGGCTGGGGGACCTCGTTATACTGGGAGAATGACGGGGGGGAGACTAATGAGCCGCTGGAAAGGTGGAACCAGTGGCAGACTGACTTATACTGGGAAAGTAGAAGGTGGAACCAGTGGCAGACTGGCTTCTACTGGGGAAAGCGTGAAGCTGGAATGAGTGGGCAACTGGTTTATATTGGGAGAAGAAAAAATGGAGGGGGGGCTACTATACTGGGAGAGCATGAGGGGGAAATCAGTGGTCGACTGGGTGATACTGGGAGAGGCTGAGGCTGAAATCACTGGTGAACAGGTTTATACTGGTTTATGCTGGGAGGTCTCACTGGTGTCTTTCAGGTGTCCCACCTACCCCCCAGGATGTCTGAGGATCCTCCAGGGCAGGAGCGCCGCCCACTGGTGGCCGTGGATGGCGTCCCATTGCCCCAAAAGACATGGGAAAACTGGGCCCAGATCAAGGCCTTCCAGGCTAAGCCTGACGACCTCCTCATCTGCACTTACCCCAAGGCAGGTAGGTGTGGGCAGGGCTTGGAGAGCTCCTCCCCTGGAAGGTGGGACAAAGAACAGCACCAGAAAAGCTCCACCCCAGACCTGGTTTTATATGGGGCTCCACCCCAGAGCCAGCTGCATCAGGGATCCCCCCCACAACATATTGTCCCCCCGGGCACAGGCACCACCTGGATCCAGGAGATCGTGGACATGATCCAGCAGGGTGGGGACCCCGAGAAGTGCCGTCGAGCCCCACTTCATGAACGGCACCCCTTCCTGGAGTGGGCCCGCAGCCCTCAGTCCACTGGTAAGCCCCACTTGCATTAGGGAGGTAGGTTTTTGGACCGTGAAATGCCCATAAATTTATGGACGGTCAGTAAAAAAAATCAGGCTAAAACATGTCTGTGAAAAAAAACTGAGCTGTCTAAAAAAGTTGGCATGTTGGTGAAAACATGTCAGAAAATGCTGGTGTGTTGGTGAAAATGTATCAGTAAAATTTTGTGTGTTGGTCAAAGCATGAGTCAGAAAATGACATGTTGGTGAAAATGTGTCAGAAAAAAGTTGGTGTGTTAGTGAAAACATGTCAGTAAAAAGTTTTCCCGCTGTCAATAAAATAAACTATTCCTGCCGTGGCCACCCCTTGGGCCCCTGCCCTCCACAATGATCCCATGATGCTTTGCAGGGGTGGCCTGGGCTGATGCCATGCCCCCCCCGCGGACCCTCAAGACCCACCTCCCTGTGAAGCTCCTGCCTGCGTCCTTCTGGAAACAGGGCTGCAAGGTATGCTGGGAGGTGGGGGGGCACTACAGGGGGAAGCTTGCAGTGAGGCGGCACTGCTGGGAGAAGCTTGCAGTGTGCTCTCTGTGCCCTGTGCCAGGTGGTGTACATGGCGCGGAACCCCAAAGACTCAGCCGTGTCCTACTACCACTTCCTGCGCATGCACCAGCTCCTGCCCCAACCAGGGCCCTGGCCCCAATTCCTCGAGGCCTTCATGGCGGGAACAGGTGAGTCTGATTGGCTGGGACGTGTGGGCGTTTCCCTTCTCCCTCCCCACTTCTGCTCCAACCCAGAGCTGGACGCATCTCAGCTCTCCCCATACACTGTTATATGTGGATGTTACATCCCAGAGCATTTGCGCATCTCAGCTCTCCCAGAGAGTGTTATAGGCAGCCATGTCTACCCCAGAGCTGGACACATCACAGCCCTCCCTGACACCATTATATGTGCCTGTTATGCCCCAGAACTAGGCAAATTGCAGCTCTCTCCATACATTGTTGTATGCACCCATTTCTACCCCAGAGCTGGGCGCATCTCAGCCCTCCCTGATACTATGATATGTGGTCATTGCACTGAGCTCTGGGGCATACCAGCCACATATAACAGGGTATGGAGAGGGCTGTGATGTGCCCAGCTCAGGTGCAAAGGCCATGTATAACAGTGTATGGGGAGGGCGGAGATGCACCTAGCTCTGGGGTGGATGGGCCACATATAACAGTGTATGGAGAGGGCTGAGAGATACCTTAGAGCTGGGCATAATGGCCACATATAACAATGTATCTCAGCTCTCCCCACACTGTTATATGTGGCCATTATCATATGCCCCACCCTAGAGCTGGCCGCATCTCAGCCCCTCCCCATACACTGTTATATGTGGCCGTTGCACGCCAGAGATGGGCGCATCGTATCCCAGAGAGCTCCCGCGGGCTCTGACTCTCCTCTCTCTGCAGTGCCCTGGGGGTCGTGGCACGAGCATGTCAGGGGCTGGTGGCGGGCACGGGAGGCGCTGCCCCTGCTCTTCCTCCACTACGAGGACCTTAAGGAGGTGAGTGCTGCGAGCTTCCCCCCAACAGTGCCCTGAGGCTGTGAGCTTCCCCTCAGCAGTGCCCTGAAGCTGTGAGCTTCCCTCAGCAGTGCCCCACATACTGTAAGCCGCCCCCCAACAGTGCCCAAGCGCTGCAAGCTTCCCCAGAGCAGTGCCCTGCCTCTGTTTCTCCCCCCTTCCCCGCCCCCAGGACCCAGGGCGAGAGATCCAGCGGGTGGCCCAGTTCATCGGGCAGCCCCTGGTGCCGGCTGCACTGGAGAGGGTCGTGCACCACACCTCCTTCGAGGTCATGCGGGCCAACCCGGCCACCAACCGGGCCAGCGCGCCCCGCTCCGTCCTGGACCAGAGCATCTCCCCCTTCATGCGCAAGGGTGAGGCCCCGGGACCCCGCGGTGCAGCTGGCTCTGGTGGGGGAAGGCCCCCCGGCGGGGACGGGGCTCAACTCCTGTCCCCTCCGTGGCTGCAGGGACCGTGGGTGACTGGAAGAACCACTTCACCGTGGCCCAGAGCGAGCACTTCGACCGGGACTGCGCCAGCAAGACGGCAGGCACCGGCCTGGCCCCAACGAAGACGGCGGGCCCCGCCCTGCCCTTCCGCACCGAGCTCTGAGGCCCCGGGCATGCGGGCTCCCAGACCCCCCGCTCCCACCCCCACGTATCCCAGCAAGCCCAGGCGTGCGGCCACCCGCCCGCCATGGGGAACCCGAGGGAAACTGAGGCACAAGGCTGGGGGTGGGTGGGGGATGAGTCTCTTCTGCATCCAGCAGAGCCAAAAATGGATCGCTTCCCCCCCAAAAATAAACCCTCTGCTTCGCTGGCTTGTGGAGGTTGCTTTTAAGGCGTAGCTGCCCCCCGTCCCCACCCCAGAGGACCCAGGAGGTCGAACCCCGTCTCCCATCCAGGGGCCGACTTGGTCTATCCCTGCTTAGCTCCAGTGCAGCCCCCCCCGCAATGATGCCTGGGTTCACTGGGAGGGGCCTGGAAGCTGGTGAGCGAGAGCAAGGCATGCTGGGAGCCCGGATGCCTGTGTTCACTGGGAGAAGGAGGGGGTGAGACCGGGGGTTTGGGAGCTCGGGCGCCTGCGGGGGCAGGGAGGGAAGGGGGTTGAGGGCCTGGACACCTGGGTTCCTTGTGGGGGGTGAGACCAGGGGTGTTAGGAGCCCAGACGCCTGGGTACCTTGGGGGGGATGGGGGGGGCGGCTGGGTGACAGGACGCCTGGGTTCTCTGGGGAGGGGGCTGAGACCAGGGGTGTTAGGAGCCCGGGCTCGTGGGCTCTCTGGGGTGCGGGGTGGGAGGAGAGGGGTGTTAGGAGCCCAGATGCCTGGGTTCCCGGGGGTGGGGGCGGGGATGGGAGCAGGGGGTTTAGGAACCCAGACACCTGGGTTCCCTGGGAGAAGGTGGGGGTGAGAACAGGGGGCCTGAACACCTGAATTCTCTGGCCCTACCCCCCTCCCCAAACCACATTGCTGGGGGGGGATCCCCATTCGCACCTCCTGTCCGGCTGGGCCCCACTTCCTGTCTCTCTTCTCAGGCTGAGAAGCATCCCTGGGGACCCCCCCCCCCCCCGCACCACTCCCCCCCTTGGCCCCCCCCCCCCCGGACAATCTCCCAGCTTCTGGGGCCTTGCAGAGGATGGAGCCAGGATCCCAACTCAGGCCAGAAACACAGCAGAGTAGGGTTGCACCTTGGAGACTAACCCCAGCAGAGCCCCCCTCAAAGGCAGGGTGGAGGGGTATTGCATTGCCTTCCCCCAGCTCTGGAGTTTGCAATGCAAGAACAAAGCAGAGTGCATTTCCCAGCAGGCCTTGGAGCAGTTGCGGGGGCACTTTTGGGGAAGAGGGGTGCAAATTACGGGGGTGATATCAGGCAGGAGCTAAGGGAGAGATGCCCCTTAGAGACAGAAAGGGATTTTTTTATGGGTCTGATTTATATGGAGACTTACGGTTCTCTAGACATAGACAGTAAATGGCATTATCGGGGTCTGATTTATACAGAGGCTTACGGTTCTCTTAGCATGGGAGGGAGTGGGTTTATAGGGAGTCTGCTATATACAGAGATTTACGGCCTTGTATGTATCGTGCAGGAAATGGATTTATTAGGAGCTTGTTTCTAAGGAAACCTGTGGTTTTATAGGTATCGTACAGGAAATGGATTTATGAGCAGCTTGTCTACACAGAGACTTACAGTATCCTATGTATACCACATGCAATGGATTTATATGTGTCTTATTTATACAGAGACCTACGGTACTCTGTGTATACTGCATGCAATGGATTTATAGGCATCTTATTTATACAGAGACCTACGGTACTCTATGTATGCTGCATGCAAAGGTTTATAGGGGTCTGATGTATACAGAGACTTACGGTTTTGTATGCATGGTGTGAGAAATGGTTTTATCAGGGTCTTATTTGTATGGAGATTTACGGCGTTTCAGGGACGTGAAATGGGTTTCTAGGCACCTCATTTCTATGCGTTGGATGGGAAATGGATTTTGGAGCACCTTATTTATGCAGAGACTTATGGTACTCTGTGTATAGGGCATGAAATGGGTTTATAGGGGTCTTATTTACACGGAGCCTTACAGTACCCTGTGTATAGTACATGAGGTAGGTTTATAGGGGTCTTATCTATACAGAGACTTACAGTACCCTATGTATAGCGCATGAGATGGGTTTACAGGGGTCTTATTTATACAGAGACTTACAGTTTTGTTTTTATAGTATATTTAAATGGATTCGTAAGTACCTTATGTATAGCGTACCATAAGTCTCCATATGTGTGTGCTTATAAGGGATTTATATGGAGACTTATGGTACCCTATATATAGCACGAGATGGGTTTATAGGGATCTTATATGGAGATTTATGGTATCCTATGTGTAGCATGAGGTGTCCTTATGGGGGTCTTATTTATAGAGAGATTTATGGTACCCTATGTATAGCACGAGTGGGCTTATAGGGGTTGTATCTATATGGAGACTTACGGTACCCTAGTTTATAGGGGTCTTATTTATATGGAGACTTACAGTACCCTATGTGTAGTGCATGAGGTGTGTTTATAGGGGTCTTATCTATATGGAGACTTATGGTACCCTAGGTATAGTGCATGACCTGTGTTTATAGGAGTCTTATCTATACAGAGACTTACGGTTTTGTTTTTATAGCATATTTAAATGGATTTATAAGTCCCTTACGTATAGCATACTGTAAGTCTCCATATGTATAGCGCATGACGTGTGCTTATAGATGTCTTATATATATGGAGACTAACGGTACCCTATGTATAGTGCAGAAATAGAAGTATCTTATTTACAGGGAGACTTACAGCTTTATAGTACAGGCAAGGGGTTTATATGCAGAGACTTATGGTTCTCAAAAAAAATGCATATATACAGAGACTTATGGTTTTGTAGGTATAGTGTGTGGAATGGATTTCTGGGTGTCTTATTCATATGGAGACTTACAGTTCTCTATAGGGCATGACATGGATCTATAGGCACCTCCTTCCTATGGAGATATCGGGCATTATATATCTATATGATGTGCAGTACTGTGGTGGACTGTATATAAAAGCCACATAACAGCTGTATATAAAATATAATGTCTGTATATACACCTTTAAGGACCATATATAGAATAGAACTGCTGTATGTAAGGTCTGAGGGCCATATAGAAAATATCCCTGCTGTATATATAGGCCATAAAAGCTGGATATAAAATACAACAGGCATATACAAAATACGATAGATTCTATATATGCCTTGATGACCATATATAAAATATAACAGACACATATAAAATACGACGGACATATAGAAAACAGGGTGACCATATATAAAATATAATGGCTATCTATAGCATATGATAGGCCTTAAAATAAGGGAATATATACCTATATCTGTCAAATAAAGCAGTCATATATATTCTTTTTAATGGCCATATATAAAATATAACAGCTGTATATTAACTATTATGACCCTACATAAAATATGATGGCCAGATATAAAATATGACGGCAGTATATAAAACATAAACAGCTCTATATGCACTTATATGCCTAGATACCAAACAGCCCTGTGTACACTTTAATGTCCATATAGAAAATATGCTGGCTGTATGTAGAGAATATGCTGGCCCTATAGACACTTTAAACACTGGATATAAAATAGGCCAGGCATATGTATTCTTCAATGACTGTATATAAAACATAGTGGCTGTATATACAATATGATGGCCATCTATACACTTTCATGACTGGAAAATAGAATATGACAGCTATATATATGATATAATGGCTGTATATAATTTATGACACCCACATATAGAATATGATGGATGTATATGAAATATGGCTGCATATACCCTTTAATGGCTGTACATAACAGCTGTATATAAAAATATAATAACCATATATGTGCTTTCTTTACTCTATATAAAATATAACAACTGTGTACGTGCTATCATGACCGTATATAAAAGTGATATACGATTGTTATATTTTCTATACAGCCGCTGTGAGAATTGCATATGTACATTCCTGACCGTATATAAAATATAAGGACTGTATATAAAATATATTTTATATACGGTCAGGAAAGCACGTATATAATTGTTATAGCGGCCACATAGAACATATAACAATCGTATGTGTGCTTTCATGACCATATAGAAAATATAGCAGCCGTATAGAAGATACAACGATCGTCTATGCGCTTTGACAACCGTATGTAAACTATAATGATCATATATGTGCTTTGATGACTGCATATAAAGTATAACGGCCATATGTGCACTTTAACGGCTATATAGAAAATATGACAGTCGTGTCTGTGCTTTAGTGACCATATAGAAAATGTAACGGCTGCATATGCCCTTTCATGCCCATATAGGAAATGTAATGGCTGTATAGCAAATCTAACAACCATATATCTGCCATACAGTCATTAAAGCGCGGATGTAGTTGTGTTAGATTCTTGCTTTGGGGTGTTGCCGGCTCCTTCCCCTTCTCCCACGGGTGCAGGCATCGGGGTCGGGGCTTGCACCTCTGTTGGGGGTGGTTGTAGCCCAGGCAGCTTCTGCCGGGACTTGCACCTGGAGGCAGCCAGGTCTGGGGGAGAGCGGAAGAGAGGTGCATATAACTGTGCCCAGGGCAAGGGTTGAGATGCAACCAGCTCTGGGGGGGAGCAAGGGGAACCAGCCACATATAACACTGCCCAGAGAGAGAGTTAAGACGTAACCAGCTCTGGGGTGGAGCAGGAGGGAGAGGTTACAGCCACATATAACAGTGCCCAGGGAAGTGTTGAGATGCGACCAGCTCTGGGGGAGAGCAGAGGAACCAGCCACACAAAACACCGGCCCACACCTGGGCTCACACTGCACATGACACACCCCACCCCCACTTCCTTGTGACCCTCCGACTTTCCCCCTGCAGGTCACAGCACGGAGGGCGGAGCTTCTTGAGAAAGAGGTGGGGCTGCCCAGAAAGGAGGCGGAGCTACCTGGGAGGACCAGCCCAATGGAGCCAGGTGAAGCCCCCAGCACCCCAGATCCCCAAGTTGGGGGGGGAGAAGAGGACGTCTCCAGAGCCGCCCGAGCAGGTGAGCCCAGCTCCCAACGCCCCCGGGGCAGCCCGGGCATCTTGGGGGGCAGGTCTGGTAGCCTGCCCCCATCACTGAGGGCAAATCGCAGCCCCAACCCACTCCCTGGGGGTGCTGCTGGCTACCAGACCCAGCTCGTGGTGCGGGTGTCGGCACCTCAGGAGGGACCAGAGGGAAGGAAACATCCTTCTTTCTTCTAAGAAGGGAGGTATTGGCGGCAGCCCAGAGAACCGGGAGAAGTGGGGGATATTTCCCAGCCCCACAAGCAGCCCAGGCATAACTAGACCTCCAAGTCGAGTGGAGAGACAAGAGACGGGTCCGTACCCCGTCTGGGCACCACAACCCATAGCCGGAGGAGAGGCCTATCCCGTTCCTGGCCACCAGCACCTGATCTGCTGAGGCCGCTGGCCCCGTGTTGAGCAAAGAGCAGGTGGGAGAGCACAAGGGCGCTAGGCAAGGCTGGGCGGCGGGGCCGAGAGAGCCCCTCATCCTTCCTTCATCCATCCCCTTCTCTCCTCCCAGGTGCCCATGCAGCCAAGGATGCCGAGAACGCCCCCGTGCCACCCGTGAGACGCCGGCGGCGCCGGGCCGAAGGTGGCCTCATCAACCTCCTGGGCCTCCTGGAGCCTCAGCCCCGGGTGCGGGCCCGGCCCTACCGCTGCACCGACTGCGGCCGGGGCTTCAGCCAGAGCTCCAACCTGCTGGAGCACCAGCGGGTGCACTCAGGGGAGCGCCCCTTCACCTGCGGGGAGTGCGCCAAGAGCTTCGCCCGTGGGTCCACGCTGGCTGAGCATGTCCGCACGCACACCGGGGAGAAACCCTACCCCTGCCCGGACTGCGGGCGCCGCTTCGCCCGTGGCTCCACGCTGGCTGAGCACCGCCGGACCCACACGGGTGAGACCCCGTTCGCCTGCCGCGACTGCGGGCGCTGCTTCAGCCGCACCTCCAACCTGGCCAAGCACCAGCGCACGCACACGGGGGAGAAGCCCTACCCCTGCCCCGAGTGCGGGAAGCGCTTTGGCCTGCGCTCCAACCTCCTCAAGCACCTCCGCACGCACTCTGGGGAAAAGCCCTTTGCCTGCGGGCTCTGCGCCCGCCGCTTCAAGAAGAAGACCCACCTGGTGTCCCACGGGCGCACGCACACGGGCGAGCGGCCTTACGCCTGCGGGGACTGCGGGAAGAGCTTCGCCCAGAGCTCCACCCTCCTGGAGCACCAGCGCACCCACACCGGGGAGAAGCCGTACCCCTGCCCAGACTGCGGGAAGCGCTTCGGCCTGCGCTCCAACCTCCTCAAGCACCTGCGCACGCTGCGGGTGCACACGGGGGAGAAGCCCTATGGCTGCAGCGCCTGTGGGCAGCGCTTCCGCTACAAGACCCAGTTCGCCCGGCACCAGAAGCTGCACCATGGGGGCGGCCGGGAGGAGGAGGAAGAGGAGGAGCCCGTGGCCGTGCTGGCCGTGGGGCCCTGGGCCACTGCCAACCCGCTCGTGCCCATCCCAGAGACGGCTTGAAAAAATATTGCCCCCCAAAAACGCAGCAGGAGGGATTTGGGAATGCGCGTTGTAGCTGGGAAATATGGTAAGGGGCGTCACCTAGCCAGGGCAGCAAGGGTGTACATTATAGGTGACAAATACAGTAAGAGTGTGTCATTCCCCCCCTCCCCCCCAAAACACAGCTGGTGGAAATTAGGAGTGTGCTTTTTTGGTGAGAAATTGAGAAATACGGTAAGAACCTAGCCCAGAGGCGGCAAGGGTGCATGTTATAGGCAAAAAAAATATGGTAAGAGCAGTTTTCCAGCTTGGGAGCAAGGGTGCATGTTATACGCAGGAAATACAGCAAAAGCAGTTTCCCATTTTGGGAGCAAGGGTGCACATCATACACAAGAAATACGGTAAGAGCAGTTTCTGCTGTTTATTGGGAGAAACCAATGGGTCATTTTGTATTTGAGAGACTACGGTATTCTCCTCCCCTTCCCTGCCAGATCCAACCCATGTGGTCCAGCATCCCTGCTGTCCCAGGGCTAGGGAACTGCTCTTACCATATTTCTCACCTGTAATGCGCACTCCCAATTTCCACACGTTCTTTTTCAGAGGGAAATGTGCGCTGTATGCCAGAAAATACCGTATTTTCCTCCCCTCCCCCGCCAGATGCAGCCTGTCTGGCCCAGTATCCCTGCAGCCAAGAAACTGCTCTTACTGTATTTCTCACCTATAACGCGCACGCCCAATTTCCACACGTTCTCTCTCAGAGGGAAACACGTGAGACAAGGAGCCCCTCACATCTCCCCCGTGTCTAGCTCTGGGTCTTTATCGGTGGCCGTAGACTAGGAGCCATGGCCCCAAGCTTCAGCAGGGGAAACTGAGGCTGGAGAGGTGGAGGAAACTGCTGGCCGTGAGGTGGTCGAGTATTGAAGGAGGTACCTAGAGAGGTTGGAGACGCTGGAGCGGGATGCTTTCACCCGGGAGAACCTCGCCCTCGGGAAGAGCCTCGGTGACCTCACGGGAAGCCCGACTTTCCCATGATCCTTCAGGAGTTGCGGCGTCTCCATCCCCGGAGATTCGCAAGAGCCAGGTCAGTTGTGTCCTGGGCTGTCCCGCCTGGCACCCGTCACATCCCTCCCAGCTCCATCGTCCCATGATCCTTTGCTGCAGAACTGCATGCTGGGAGCTGAGAAGGGCTTCCCTCCGCACTGGACTCTCTGTTGGTCTCTTCCTCTCTGGGAGGTTCCTATTGGACCAGAGGAAGCTTGAGATTGTTCCTATTGGATCAGGGAGACCTTCGAGACTGGGGGGGGTCACCTGAGGCATGGTCACGGGTTCGAGTCCAGCCTCGGGGAGTTGCCGTTCCCGCCCCGCATCGTGGGAGGCCGCGTGTGACCCTCCGGACTCAATCCCCTCTTTCGTTTCAGCCAGGGCCGAGGTCACCGTAGCCCCGGCACTAACAGCACCCCGACGCCGGCGCTGCTAGCCCTGGGTTACCCCAGAGCGGACAAACAGGGCAGCGGAGAGCAAGCAAGGGGGGCGGGGCATCTTTTCAGTACCGTATAGACTTGTGTACCACGCCCCCCGAAAATTAGCGATGGAAAGCAGTCTGAAACCGAATCTGATTGGATTTGATTAAACAGATCTCTCTCGCTCTTCTTTTTCTGTCTTCCTTCTGGCTTTCCAAAGCAGGTCTTACGTTTGGGGGGGGGGGGGGTGTTATAGCTAGAGAAGTACAGTAGCCGGTGGCAAGTGAATCCGATTGGATTTGATTCAACACGCACGCGCGCACGTGCTCGCCCCCTCCCGCCTTTCCAAAGCAGGTGTTATTTTTGGAGGGGGTGTTATAGCTGGGGAAATACGGTAGTTGGTGCAGTTTGGGAGCCCTGTGTGTTGCGCACGGGAAATTACGGTAGGGCCCGTCCATGGTTGGGGGGGCGTGTCTAGGGCCTGATGGGGGCGGGTACCGTATTGCTGGGTACCGTATTGTCTGGAGTATGACGCGCAGCTGGGGTAGAAGCACGCCGCTGCTTCCTGGGGGCAAAAGGGAGGGGCCGGAGGGGTCGAGGCCGCGGTGCACACTGGGACACTGCTGGACACACACACACACCCCCCCCCCCCACACCCCCCCCCCCCGCGACGC